TGTGTCAAAACTCTTATTTGTACCAACGTGTGTACTCTGAGCTAACCGGATTTGTAAGGTAGAACTGGTTCATAGTAGTGGGGGGTGGGGAGGGTGAAGGAAGCATTCAGGAACTAGAGGAAAGATGTGTGTTTCGTTGGTGCTATACTGCACCCTGGTTTAATCATCCATTCCTTGTAACCCTTCTGTGGGGGATGTCCAATTGTCTACAGATGGGCTTTGGCTCTCCACTCCAGTCTCCCTCTTTCACATCGATATGATTGAACATAACCAAATATCTCGAGAGAAAGAGTTGTACTGGGGGGGCCTGTGGAAGCAGGACCATAGTCTTGGGGGACACCAAGGTCAATTGGTAGAACACAGTTCACCAAGACAATGGGCTGCATCCGCCTTGGGTGAGTGGCAGCTGAGGTTTTAAGTACTCATGAACAGACATCTAAGGGGCAACTATTGGTCTCTTCCCATCCGGAGGAAAGACGAGTGATGACAATAACAAAGCATGCAAAAAAGCAGACCCATTGACTGATGAACCGCACGAACATCCATCTCCACAACCCCGAGGCCAGAAGAACAAGCGGGTATCTGACGACCACTGCCAACTGGCTCTGGCGGGCCCTGGATACAGCAGGGCAGAAAGGGGGAACAAAGCTCACAATCATGAGATCGAGCTCAGACAGACTGAGAGAAACCCCAAGACTATGGCCCTTTGTCACCCATGTTAGGATAATCAACCATTTAAAACCAAGAGGGCAGCATTTACCCCAGAACAAAAGAGGGGAGGAGGAACGGACGCAGGAAACACAGGAGGATGTGCAATAAGGAATGGGGAGTTGAAGAGATCACAATAGATTCGTTTTATCAGAATGAGTAGAAATTGTTGAATGTAAAGCTTGTGATCTACTCTGTTAACGTTCACCCAGTTCACAGTAAAATGCTATAAAAGAGAAAGAAAAAAAAGAGGGGCATGAGTTCTTCCCCAGGGCCTTGGTACTCTCAGCTTCCTGTGAGGAGTTCATTTTTCTGTCCCCCATATTCAGCAGGCCTTTCCTACTAATAGGCCTTTGTTGCCTATTAGTAGGAAACAAATCTATTAAGATGCATGGGGTCACCATGAATTCACATGGGTTTCCTGGGAATTGGGTGTTTGTTTTGTTTTAATGAGCAAAGAAAATATTTCACACGGAGAAGCTTGCTTTTTCATCATTCAATTGTCTGAGACAGTAGAGGAATAGCTTGAGCCTTACGCTTGATCCAATTTTCTTCTCAGAGACTAATTGTATCCTGGTCATCAATTCTCTTCCCTCTGCTGCACGCAAATGTCCCTTCCTCCCTCTCTAGAGGACTGTCTTTACTGCTGGGCCAAGTGGGGTTGGTCTTTTGGATGAATGACCTTTGGGGGAAGTTATTTTTATCTCCTTAAACATTGGTTAAAGGAGCCCTGGTAGCTTCGTGGGTTGCACATTGGGCTGCCAACCACAAAGTCAGCAGTTCAAAAACACCAGCTGCCCCCAAGGAGAAAGATGAGGCTTTCTTCCCCACTAAAATGTTACAGTCTCAGAAACTCACAAGGGCAGTTCAACCCTGTCCTATCAGGTCACTATGAATTAGAATGGACTCAGTGGCAGTGAGTGTGACTTCGAGTAACACTGGTAAAGTTCTTGTTTTCCACCGAATTTTTTTTTTAGCAAGGTACACTCAAGCGCACACATCTTGAAGATACAAGTAGACTACGTTTTACATCTACACTCATTCGTACATAAACATGTTGTTAGGGCTCAAGGCCAAGAAAGGGAGAGACATCCTATACACAGAAGCCAAGAGACCAAAACTTTGATCTCGAGCCAATCTGAGAGACGTGCATTGATGTGCACAGCAGGGGCCAGCTGGACAAGAAAGGATCCACCAAGGGGTCATTGTGTGGCCTCTGCTTATACCAATTCACCTACATCTAGGAATGAGATGGGTTACTGAAACTATTTGCACTGGCGATGTTAGTACCTGAAATGCATTGTTGGGTTGTTGCTGTGTGCACCATACTGTATAATGTGCCAGGTTTGGATTTGGCCTGGCTGTATGATTGGGGATGTGTCCTCTGGATGAGCTGAGGGGCACACTGGGAACCTTGTGTAGCAGAAGTGTAGCCGTTTTGGAGAGTTAGTCCGTGCCCCTGCATATGTGTGTATGCATGTGCATGTGTGTGTATTTCATATATGTGTAAATATCAACCAGATATGAAATAGACCCTTAATATTCTTTCCACTATAACACCCACTCCTATCGCAAGGTATATGTTTTTCTGGCATTTATTTTAAAATATAGATTTATTTTGTTCTGGAACTTCCTAACAGGGAAATTTTCATTCATTCATCCATGTATTTTCAGCCAACCTTTTTTAAAACATTTTTTTAATTAAATACTTTTATTGGGGTCTCTTACATCTCTCTCTTTTTAAATCATTTTATTAGGGGCTCGTACAACTCTTATCACAGTCCATACATGCATCAATTGTGTAAAGCACATTTGTACATTCATTGCCCTCATCATTCTCAAAACATTTGCTCTCCACCTAAGCCCCTGGCATCAGCTCCTCAGTTTTTCCCTCCCTCCCGACTCCCCCCTCCCTTATGAACCCTTGATAATTTATAAATTATTATTTTGTCATATCTTTCACTGTCCGACGTCTCCCTTCACCCAGTTTTCTGTTGTCTGTCCCCCAGGGAGGAGGTTATATGTAGATCCTTGTAATCGGTTCCCCCTTTCTAATCCACCCTCCCTCCACCCTCCCAGTATGGCTACTCACACCACTGGCCCTAAAGGGATCATCCATCCTGGATTCCCTGTGTTTCCAGATCCTATCTGTACCAGTGTATATCCTCTGGTCTAGCCAGATTTGTAAGGTAGACTTGGGATCATGATGGGGGGAGGAAGCATTTAGGAACTAGAGAAAAGTTGTATGTTTCATCACTGCTACATCGCATCCTGACTGGCTCATATCCTCCCTGAGACCCTTCTGAAAGGGGATGTCCAGTGGCCTATTATTTATAAGTTTAGTATTAAGGTAGCAGATGGACATTGGGCCTCTACTCAAGTACTCCCTCAATGCAAGAATACTTTGTTCTCTTACATCTCTTATCTCAATACATTCATCCATGTGTCAAGCACATTTGTACATATGTTGCAATCATCTTTTTCAATGTGTTTCTTTCTACTTGAGCCCTTGGTATCAGCTCATTTTCCCCCTCCCTCCCACACCCTCCCTCCCTCGCGAACCCTTGATAAGTTATAGATTATTCTTTTCATATCTTACATTGTCCTCTGTCACCCTTCACCCACTTTTTTGTTGACCATCCCCCTGGGAGGGGGTTATATGTTGATCCAACCTTTGGATCAGCATAGTATTCATAGGGTCCATCCACGTCTTCACATTAGTAGTTCTTCCTTTTAATCACTGAGTGGGATCTCATTGTATGAACATACACCGCTTGTTTATTTAGTCTCCTGTTGGTGGTCACTTGGCATTTTTCTAGCTTTAGACTAGTATGAGGAAGGCCATTAGAAGCATCCTTGAATGTGTCCTTCTGTCAATAATATGCACTGATTTCCCCCCCATGAAGTTTCCTAGAGTAGAGTTGCTGATTTCCCCCCATGAAGTTGCCTGGAGTAGAATTGCTGGGTCATAATGTGTCTCTATGTATCATATTAAAGGTGGACAATTCATCTAAACATGCTTTGAGGTTTCTCTACTACTCTCTTCTCATTTTTCACCTCTGCTACTCTCCTAAAGTACCTTCCTCCTGCTTCTGTGATCAGGCCTGATGTTGAACCTGTGTCTTCCTCCCTACAGGGCAAGAAGGAATCGCCACCCCTCCCGGAGGCTCCCACAACGATGTGGACCCTACAAACTGCCAGATCTTTACCCTTACCCCTCCTCCCGCCACAAGGAATCCGGTGACAAAGATCCAGCCCATCACAAGGACCCCCAAGTGTACCTTCCATTTTTTCCTCAGGAGAAAGCCCAGAGTTCACACTAGGTTCCTACACAGACCCTTACTCCCCAAGTGCAACCATCGTTTTCTACACAGACCACACAGGCCACTCCGTGGCCAAATGCCACATAGATATTTCCCTAGGAGAAATCACTGGAGGGGAAGTTCATCCTCTGAGGAAAGCTGAAAGAAGCCTTGAAGTGAAGCAAAATGAAGCCAGTCCCACAGACAAAGAAATGCAAAGATTTCCGTCATCTCTTGCCACCCTGAAACGACTGGATGGGAGGATTAAGTATCCTAAACTCTACTGACTAAATCGTTCTCCTTGTTTTGCAGCCGACTGACAGTGACTACATTATTTTCAACCCCAATATTTTTTTTATGATTACTTCATGCAAATAAAGTCTTAAAATAGATTATTCCAATCATTAATATCCATATTGAGATGTCAGAAGAATCTCTTTTTCTAAATCGGAATGCTAGTGATTGTTAGGAGCCATCGAGTCAGTTCCAACCCACAGCAACCCTGTGCACCACAGAACCAAACCCTGCCGGTCCTGCGTCAGCCTCGCCATGCTGCCTGTCCTCGAACCCATCGTGGCGGCCACAACATCAACCCATCTTGTCAAGGACTTCCTCTCTCCCACTGCCCCTCGACGTTACCAAGCATGATGTCCTTCTCCGGGGACTGCTCTTGCCTGACAACATGTCCAAAGCTATCAGAGAAGTCTCACCATCCTTGCCTCTAAGGTGCACTCTGGTCCTACTTCTTCCAAGATAGAGAACAGAATGCCCTAGAAACATGAACGACATGCTTTTCTACTCATTGGAAAATGTGCAGAACAAAGTACATTTATAAAGAGGACTTTATAACAAATCATAAAAACTAAAGTGAAACAACGTTGTGGGGGGTTGACTAGGTACTTCATTGTAAAAGATACCATCGATGGGGTTCTTGGTGGAGGCTCGCTGCTGTCGGCCCCGTTCCAATATGGAGACGAATAGCTGGAACTGCTCCACGGGGTTTGCAGGGCTGTGACCGCCCATCCAGAAGCAGATGGCCAGGCATGACTTCTGTGTTGCCTCTGAGTGAACTTGAACTGAAATTTCCTATTAGTAGCGCAGCGCTTAGCTATTTGGCAGAGTGGTTATGCATTTGGTTGTTAAACATAAGGTCAATTGAAACCACCGATGGCTCTGAGTGAGAAATACGGGGCTTTCAACTCCCACAGCGAGTGACAGTCTCGAAGGGACGCTGGCGGATAGCAAAGAGTTCAAGAAGAAAGAAAATGTTTTGAAAATGATGGTGGCAGTCATTGGACAATGATGCTTGATCTAATCGAAGTGTGGATTGTTATATTATCTGTAAGAGCTTCCAATAAAGTAATTTTTAAAAAGGAAAAGAGTTACAGTCTCTGAAACTTACAGGAGCAGTTCTATCCTGTCCTGTAGAGCGTCACTATGTGTTGGCATCAACTCGATGGCAATGAGTTTGGGGGGTGTTTGGAAAGGCTCCTCTAGATTGGATTATCTGGCCAAATAACTCTATTCTTTCGCTATAGTGCCGAAAGGGCTCTTAATGTTAACTTTTTCAGCCACTAATGCAAATGACTGTCATAAATTTCTCATTGTGTTTCCTCTGGTTGTCAAGATCCTAACTGAAGCTATATACTTCCTCT